CAATAGGACAGAATGTTAGTTATTTGGTTATGTTGTGTTTGCAAGACTTATGATCTTGTGTCTGCTGTGTATCCTTAAACGTGGCGATGCTTTTTGCTCCAAATCAAAGGTGAATAAATAAACATAAAGAATAAACAATCAATCGATATGACTAAAAATAAACTCAAACTCAATCTTCATCCAGTGAATAAATGAAATAAGTTCTGATTTACACGACATGCACTATAGCGTCTAGTAAACAGCTTGTCGATCATGCACTTTCAACGATGCGTGACCTTTGCGGGATCGGAGCAACTGAAAATCAGAACTCGTAATTGAGATTTAACAAAGGGATCAAACATGAGTGATAAAAAAAATTAATTACGTGATTCCGTGCATTGTACAGTAAGCATTGACGTAGTTTATGCATATAGTTAACTTTCGTTCCCTGATCAGCTGCATCAGAACACTGCTCTGCTGGGTCTCGAACCCGAGCCTCCAACATACAAAACGAAACGGGCAACCTCAGCATCACTGCTGGACCGCTCTGTGAAATGCCACATGGAGTGCGACCAAGAGTCAAACAGAGGAACAGCTGGCATAGATATACTGAAATGCAGTCCGTGAAACTGGCCATATTAGAGAAGGACCTGTAAAATAAGAGTAAACTTGTGAAGCTGCCCATGCGATATTAAAAAGTCAGAGGTTTTGAAAATCAGTGGAAGGCATGAAAAACAACCCTCATTGTTTCGTTCAAATGAGGCTGTAGAGGCTCGACTCGATCAACCATAAATCGGCTAGACAAAGAATTTCCGTGAATTAGCCTAAAAACGTACATATTTATCATGTTATTTTGACATAGCAAAGCTGAACACACCCCATGTAAACAAGCGTTAAGCTGGAATTTGTCTTCTTGCCCGATTGCCAGTCCAAACCTTGGCTGTGTGCTGTTTAGCAACGAACGGAAACGGAATTTCGCAACGCACAAATCGAATTTCACTGTTTCTGACCAGTAAGACTTCTCATTAAATTTTTCCAACGGGCAAAACCTTGACGAAAGAATTAAAATGTCATCGCCTCTAAAGAAATGATACAATGCAATGGACGTATTACCGAGAGAACGGGATTCGAGCACCAGTAAGAATGTATTAAAATTAATATGGTTTTATTACTAATCAAAGATGATCATGCCTGCCCGTTATTTGAGCAAGGTGGCAAATAAATGAATGCTATTTTCTCTGTATTTGGCAATATCCTATATCTAAAGCGATTAGGATGTTTGATATCTTCAACCTTCTCTTCAAAATGTAGATGATACGCTAATAAATTTTGAGGATGCTTTCTTCAAGGGTCAACGACAAAATTGTTCCCTTTTTGTAGCCGGACTATTCTTCTCAAGCTGCACGAGATTGCCAAACCTCGAAATGCTAAAAATGTGATTTGCTAATCGGGATTTATGAAAGATATTCAAGGCTACCAAATAACTTGAAAACATGTTGTATCGCGATCACTCTGCACGTGATCTTGCTATTTGAATTTGACAGGGACGCTGAAATTGGATTACGAGTGATTATTTGAACAGCATAAAAAGTCACGTGAAGCACTGAATACCGACCGACATGTTCGATTAGGATGAAGAGTGAAATATAATACTTTTTTGTGCATATCGCTTAGAATATGTGTGAATCTAGCATTGGAAGATTCAAGCTTCATTAAACATACTCCAACGTATGAATATATTTACATGATTATGGATTTGCATATAAGCAATATCAGCGTATGAAATATCATTCATAATGATCAGGAGGTATTCCTATCGAACAAAATTATGCAATATGCATTTCGCATTAAACGTGCACAAATGCTATTCAGCAGCGACAAGTACAAGCGAAGTGGCGGTTCAGTTAACCATTAAATCTAGTCTTGGAGGAGCATGCGTCCCGCATATGTTTTACAACGGTAATAAATATTTGACCACACTTTAATTGACGACTGAATAAGAGCAGTGTCCCTCCCTATGATGTACTTCCAAGTCGGGGGTGTGGATTATGAGTTAACTTCACGCAAAGATTGCTTACGTGCCGAGTGGCTTTTGGGTCCTGATTTCGCCTACGCAGTCATACCGCGAAACGGATCATTTATGCATAGCGAAATACAAATTATTCGTCGAACGATGGACTTACGTCAAGTTGCGCCAATTTGAAGTTGCCTCTCAAGTCCAAGGAAATCAGCTGCTGCAGACGACCGGAAGAACAACCGAAAGCTACCACACGTTTTACCTTGAAGAACATCGTAAAATATGGCATTGTTCGATCACCGGATTGGTTATTGGCTCTCTGTTACACATAAACAAAGAATTTGTGCTGTTCTGCTGAATAGTTTTTTCTTCAAAGCATTCGCTGCGGTTACAGCAAAGACATAATATCCTAACAATAGATTTTTATACCTTGAGTTAAGTGCATTTCATTAACTGCTCGCTTTAAAGCTGACTTTCGTGTCCCATTGGCAAAACCATGCCTTATTAACCATAATACATTATGTGCTTTCGTTTTCGTAAATCTACGTGATGTAAGATCTTATTGCAGACAACATCCGCTCCCTTGGGACGATACCCTTTGCGATTGGTTCTACAGAGTTCACAAAACGGTTGTTGGGTAAACGTATCAAACGAAGCCGCCTGGTGAAGAAAACCGGTGAGGTGAACGTCACCTACAACAACGTGCCAAAACTGGAAAGACAGTTTATGAGGTGTGAAAGGGCCTGAAATTAAAACAGTACTTAGGCATATTTTAGGGACCTCTTCACGACACTCATCGATGTCAACTGGGGTTGCAGTCTTTTAATCTTCTGCAGCTTGTTCGTCTTCACTTGGGTGCTGTTCGCTTTGATCTACTACGTGTTGTCGTGGACACACGGCGACTTTGATCAGTCAGAGAACGATGGCGGGAAGCCGTGCATCAGGAACGTCTACGACTTTGCCTCCATCATGCTTTTCTCCGTTGAAACACAGCATACAATTGGCTACGGTAAAAGGTACGTAAATATTGTATGACTGGGAAATGAGCCATTAAAATTATGCCACATTGTGAAGCAATAGAACTTGAACGTCATGCTTTCTGTTTGAAATAACAATCATTTATGTTCCGTGTAGAAAATTAGTCATGTGACATATCACACTTTGAGCAGTGGTTGTTCAGAAGTCTATTTTGGGTGTCAAACTTTGTTAATTATAGCCGATATCACGCCAACATTCATCCAATCCCATAGATTCATTTGAAGCACGGTAAAGCACCAAATTGGATTCACTGAAGTGTAGCACTTCATAATCTTGGTCACCAGCAGTATCACTTTCTTAACCGACAGGAGAAGAGTCCTATACCTTTTTCAGGCCATCGCTTCAGTAGCATATATAAGTTAAAGCGCAAAGGAAATGAGCATCTGATCAGTGACATTTTTTCACCTCTCTAAATTACATGTAAAATAATATTTTTTTATTTAAAGTGAAATTGTGATAATTGTTCAAGGTCCTTGTGGTGTAGTGGTTATCACATCTGCTTAACACGCAGATGGTCCCTGGTTCAATCCCAGGCAAGGACAGAATTTTCTTCTAATTCCATTAACTAACGTCTACGGGCGCAAGCTTATTTTTGTCAGTTCAGCTAGTTTCTTTCTTAACAATGAAAGCGTCTGATAGCATCTAATAAAGCTCGAATCGTCGAATAATCAGCTCATGCGTTTCAGGGAAGCCGGTCTAACAATATACGATGCACTTTTATCATTATAAAACGTTACGAGCAGTTGTAACTGCACTGCTTCTAGTAACATAATTCGTACCATGTAATGTACAACCTTGACATATGATGGTCTTTACTGTGATAGCCCAAGCAGCAAAGTATTCACTTTGTTTTCTTGTTAGGAGATTAAAATTTATCTAGTAAATAGACAGTCATCGATCTCTCTGACTTCATTTTGAGCCTGAGTTCAATCATCTGAACGTGTGCTGAAAGATTTGGCTATATGCCGCATAATGAAACAATAAAACGCATTTCCATGCATTCAAGCGGAACGTTCGAGAGCCATCGTACTATCAATTCATGAAGCAAGCTAGTGAGACCTTTGAACGCTCTGCCGTCTACCCTCTGAACAAAGAATATTTCACAACCAAACAGACAAAATGGACAGATCATTCGTAAGAACTATGTCCAATGGATGTTATTTAAAAAAATGAAAGTGAATGATAGTTCACTCCTCGCATCCATTTCAAACGTGAGCATAATATTCGCGTATCTCTGAACTGGGGGGGGGTCTGATTGGAGAACAGTCTACAGTTAATCGTCTTGCGCTTGCTCTCAGTGCGTTGGAGGAGGGATTTTGAAAAATTGTTTAAAAAATGGCGAGCTCTGAAACTGAATGCATAAGAGAACTTATTTGCAGTTATCTCAGAGAAAAACGGGCAAAAGTTTCACAACGTGTTTCAGATATATCCAGGTGCAATAATCCTCAGGAAACATGTCAAGAACCCAGAAGGTCTAAGATGGAACTGACGGACTAAAGCATTTTATTCTTGATAGACAAACGCAGATTTGACATTCAGGTCCGAGTTATTTCCTCAGCTCAAAACTGCCTGAGGGAGGAAGTCAGCTTTATTGTTCTTCATCTACAGTCGTTGAGTTATATCGAAAGCAATGCGATATCGGCCACTTGGTTGATCCACGTTGGTTTAACTTTTGCAACTGACTACCTTCAAAGACAGGCGTTTTTCATCCAGCCACATTGGATCCTGAATTCTTTTGTCGTTGGCTTCGTATTCATAGTGCTGATTCATTTCTGAACTAATCCGTACGAATGACAGCTCATTTTTAGGTACATAACCACAAATTGCTCGTCGACAATTGTCGTGCTGTGCATCCAGTCTATATGTGGCCTGTTAATACAGTCATTTGTTGCTGGAATCGTTTTCGCCAAATTGGCCAGACCCCGAAAAAGAGCCGAAACGATAACGTTCAGTAAGGACGCGTGCATTTCGTTAAGGAACGGCCAACTGTGTTTCCTGTTCCGGATCGGGGACATGCGCAACACGCACCTCGTCGAAGCTCACGTACGACTGCAGATGATTCGCCAGGCAATCACTGAAGAGGGAGAAGTGCTGATACTGCACCAGCAGGAACTGGACTTGGGCATCAATAAGGGGGCAGACAGACTGTTCCTCGTATGGCCAACTACCGTGTGCTACGTCATCGATGCGAAAAGTCCCTTGTATAATTACTCATGTGAGAGGCTCGCATCGGCATGCTTTGAG